CATTAGTAGTAGTAGTAGTAGTAGTAGTAGTAGTAATAGTAGCAGCAGCAGCAGCAGCAGCAGGAGTAGTAGTAGGAGTAGGAGTAGGAGTAGGAGTAGGAGTAGGAGTAGGAGTAGGAGTAGCAGTTGGAGTAGGAGCAGGAGTAGTAGCAGCAGCCGCAGCAACAGCAGCAGCAGCATGAACAGCTGGTGGCTCTAGCCACAGACTCTACAGTAGGATCGGGCAGACCCGTGGACAGGGCTTAGGGTGACACAAGGTCTGTTGACAGTCGACAGGGCTTGTGGCAGGTTGGGGCAGGCGCCCGAGATAGGGTCTGTGACACCCCGGCCCGCACAGCCAGTTCTTTTCCCAAGGAATTTTTATGCTAGACGAAACAATTGTGGTTCGGCAGAGGTAAGTTACGAGTTGCATTCCTGGCTGGTGGACCTGGGCAGTGTGAAGGGCAGACAAGGCCTGGAGCTCGCATGGGACCCCGCCTGCCATTTTTTTGGACCGTTGGTGCTTGCGCTGAGGCCAAAATAACAAGCCGCATGTGCTTCCGGGCCGCCTGGTGGTCTCTCGGCTTTGGAAGGGTGAAGACGCTGGCGTAGTCATTCTGTACGGCACCAGATCTAGATCCGAGTAGCATGCAGCATGCTGATGCCATCGTGCACAGGCAAACCTGGTGTCTGGCGAGGCCGAAACTTGGGCAAACAAAGGTGCGATGAGCAATTAGGCGAGATCCAATCCGGAAGGCCTTTGTGGATCTTCTCAATGCCATATTTTCAAAGCATGCTGTGCTGGTCTTATCTCGGTTGCAAGCGACAGCACCTTCGTCATGAGAGGAACGATGGGTTTGCCTTAGTCATGTCGGCACGGGTCGGGACACGGTTTGATCTGATGTAGGCTCGTTCTGTCGGATTGGACATCAGCTGGTTCTCAACACCACATCGCCGTTGGGGATAACGAAAGTGGGTGACGAGGTCGTTTCGCTGCCTGAGGTCAAGCAAAAGCTGACATCGCATGCCGGGCAGCCACAGCAGACGTGGACACAGGCTGGTTGAGCACTCCTTTTTCTGAAGATGGCACCATCATAAGCCTAAAGTGGGCAACCGGCCGAAGGTGTCAAACTGGATGCGGTTGTGTCAGATGGGACGAACTAGCATCTGGTTCTGCTTTGCTATTCCTGAGTGCCTCTTCGCGTGCCAAACATGCTCCATTCGCGACAAGCGCGGTCTGGTTTGAATCTTCGATGGACGTGGCCGCATCGCCTTGGGTCCCCAAGGCTGAAATGCGCGAAAACCACTCAAGGGCACCCCAATTAAGCGAAATTTGCGTTGATTTCATCTCGGAGGTGATCACCAGATTAAATCTGGTCTCAAGCTGGAACGATCCATTTTTTTCCGCACGGGCTGAGCTGTGAAGGATTTGTGTTTTGCGTCTCAAACCGAAACCAGTCGTTCTGCACTTGATGTAGAGCACTGCAAACCTCGTTGCATGCACATCCTGTTATATCCTATTCCTAAAGCGGATGAATGAGATATCGGTTGCGGGCGAAAACGCTTGAAGGCTGCGTCGGAACAGGCGAGGCGCCAACCTCAACGTGTGATTCAGCAAGACTAGTCGAGTTGGCTGGCTAGAAGGAATGGTTTCGTGCAAGACAAGCATGCCATGATGACGCCCGGATGCTTGCAGAAGAAATCAGAATCAGTAGACGCTGAAGAGAAGCCAGTCTCGGCTCCGGTTGAACAAGATCTTGCAAGCTTGAGCCGACAGTACTGTTGTGCCGGGACCGGTTCGGAACAAGCTTCGTAACCGGTTCGGGAACCAGTCAGAAGTGGTTCGGAACCGGCTTGGAATCGTTCCGAACCGTTCCGAACGGTTCCCAACGTATCCTTTTTGTAATGACAGGCTTCAGACCGGGACCATGAGTCTTGTGGGCTGGATCTCGAACAATTCCGAAAAGGTTCCGAACAGTTCCGAACAATTCCCGAACGGTTCCCAAGTGATTCCCGAACAGTTTCCGAACGCTTCCCCACTTGTCCCAAACAAGTTTTTTCCTTGGTGGAGCGAAACCTGACCTGTTGGTGGACAGGCTCGTGGCGGCCTCCAAAATCAGTACAAAGTGGTCGGAAACCTGCTTGGCAATCTGTTCGCGGTTTGACGACGGAAAGCTGTTCGTGATGTCATGCTGTGTCACCTCGTAAGGGTTCGGACTTTCCCAACATTCGCGAAATGGATTCGGGAACAGGGAGCCGTCCGGGAGTGGTTCAGAACTGTTCGGGTCGGAACTGTCCGGAAGCGGTTCGGAGATGCTAGCGGTCCAGAGCCAGCTCCGAAGCCGGACTATGAAAAGATAGAGTTGTTGGGATACAAAAGGGTAGCGCACCAGTCGCATCGCCTCACCGTGCTCGCTTTCCTTCGTTCATCTTTTCGCGCAAGGTTGCCAAGGGCTTGCGCCGCATGTCCGTTGAGCTGGACAATGCTGCCCTAGCCACCACCTTGTCACGTGCGAGATGTGCACAGACCGTGTTTGGTCCAACAGCACCGCGCCGAGTCTTGAGGCTGCTCTGGCCGGTGGAGACCAGGCCTGCTCATACTGAACATGAAAGGTTTGATCTTCTGGCGAAGTTGGCTCGAAGGCATTGGTCTTGGAGCTCTTGCAGGACTGAGAACAGCCATAATTGCAGGAACGATCGGAAAAGTGAGCTTGAAAGGAGCTGCATGTTGTGTATCAGCACTGGATCTCCCAAGAGGCTCTGCAAACTTTCAAGAATAATGAAATGCAGTGACTAGTGTTGGGGGGGACGGAGCGCAGGCTAAGCGGCAGCGGCGGGCCAGGAACCGACGTGATTGAACCCCAACTTCTCCGTTCTCCGTACAAATGTCGCAGCAACTCGTGCTTGCAGCTCGATCCTTTGCAACCGCCTTAGGTGCAGTCGCAGGGGCAGCAGAACGGCTACGCGGCGAGCTTGGCTGTTGCCATTGCAGTTCAGCAGCTTTCGCGGCAGCGCGGCAGAGCACAGGCCCGAGCTGGCGCAGCTGCCGGCGACTCATGCAAACATCCGCTGTGCCCGCTGTCAGCGCTGGCGGCTCTGGCGGCCCTTGCACTCCGAGGATGCATCAGAAAAGCGGGATGCAGAGAAGCGGGATGCAGCAGAGCGGCGGCATGCAGCCGACAGACCGAAGGAGGGCAGTGCTTTCTCTGCAAAGCATGGTCGTGCACGACAACACCAACAACTCCTGCAAAGGAAAGCGCTCACACGTCCAGGCTCGGAGTCGCCTTTCAGTTCAAAAGATCGAGGTAAGGGTTGGGCGCCAGGAACTTGAGACGAAGAGTTTCAGGCCACAACCCGTGGAGCCTGGACAACTGAGGTTCTGTCCAACAGTTCGACGTTCAATCGAGATCTTGTTAAAACCCAGTGTGGTTGCCGTGCTCATCTACCGTGAATCCTAGTGTTGCAATCTGCTAGCCCTGCTTGCCTGATGCCTAGTGCTTTTGAACTTTGAAACCTTTGCATGATGAGCTCGCAGGCCCCCCGGCAAACGCCGCGCCTCAGTGGTTGCAAAAGCCTTCCACCAGCCGCCGGTTCTGGGCTTGCTGAGGTTCGATGCCTGAGTCTGCGGATCTACCGCTGCCCGGTAGTGTGGATGTCCACCCGGACATGGGGAGGCACGGCATCATCCAGAAGAAACCAACCGCGCGTTCACAATGAAGTTGTCTCTAGAGAGCAGGCTCGACACCGGCAAACAGCACAAGCCTGTGAGGCCCAGCAGTATCATTTGGAGAGCTGTGGAGAGACAGCCGTGCCAGGGAAGCCGAGGAAGAAAAGCAGCAAATTGAGCAGGCCGGACAATGCAAATCAATACAGCTTGATATTTGAGGTTGTTTTGGACTTGCAAGGATTGACTCACGACTTCTGCTACTGGGTAACATGATATGCTGTTTTGCCTGTGTCCTCGTTTCAACGATGCCGAGCACTTCGCTCTGGACTTCGTCCAGGTTGCGGATGCCCCCGAGCGAAAGTGGCAGCCCCAGGGTTGGCTCTGCACAGAAGACGGCCATTTGCGCACTGCGCCCTGTCATCTACTGTACTTGTACACATTCCTGAAGAACGAACGAAGCGAACATGGCTCACTGGCTGTCAGAGGACAAGTCCTTTTCTATATTGCTCCATTCTTCGGGTGTGTTGGCGTGAAGATGTACGCTCGCTCATTCTAGGAGCTCCTCTGGCTTAGATTCCTTCTTAGCAGCGTTCTTCGTGCAGACATAGGCTTCGCTGATCTTTGCTGCTCAGACCGCCTTGGACCAATGTGCAGAAACAAGCCTGAGTCCCTTGCAGTACCTGGCGCTGCCAGTGACATCAGATAGTACGGGAGAGCCCAACCGACTGCAAACACTAGCGTTCTCGAAGCACAAGCAGACCGAGCTGACATTCGCACAAAGCTCTGCACCTTACAGAATTGCCGCAACTTCCGTGATAAGCCAAGCGAGAAGATGCAGTACACATACTCGTAGTTGTTGGTCGTCCTATATTGTTATGTCTGTCCGCTGTCTTGTTGTCTGGAGACGTGTTATGCCTGTCCATTTTTTCGCTGTATCGGTGTGTGTGTGTGTGTGCGCGCCTGTGAACATGCATGACACCTTGCAGCATCATGCAGCTGTAACATATGTGCATGCATAGATATATCGTAGCACGTTCAGCTGGTTGGAGAGCAAGAATTCAACTGGCAGCATATGTATATGTTTCAGCACATTTGTCAGACGCCTGTAACTACGAGACAGACCTGGTGTAAGTAGCAAGCGAAACCTGTTGAAGTCAAATCCTAGGCCGTGGGATGCTCTGAGCAGTCTATCACCTGCACAGGACTTAGAGGACAAGCTGTGCAGGTTATGTGTGAACAGCTACCATGTTGGAGTGCGAAAAATGCTACACACTTAGGATCGTGACTTTTCAATGGCTTCATCTGCACCAGAACTTCTGGGCAGTGATCCTGTTTGCACAGCTGACGCAGCGCGGGCAAGAGAGTCCGAGCCCTCTGTGTCTCAGCACTGCAGGTCTCTCGATGATGCAGCAGCTTCGAATAACGCCAAGCCAGGTCCAGCTGAGCAAAAGACGTCGCACGCTCAGAGTGGAAAAGACACTGGACGAGAGGTGCAGGAGCTCCTTGCAGAGAATGGCCGTCGGCTTCTGCGAGAGTCCTAGATGCAGATTGCCGGATGCAGTATGGCTTCGCTTCACATCACCGGTGGTGTGTTTGCCTTGCCAAGGCGGGCATTTGCGGATGTCGAGCACAACGTTGCACATCTATCTAGATGGCGGAGGGCTTATGCTCAGGCTGTGCCCTGATTTGTGCTTGGAAATGGGTACGAGGCTGGGGTCGCTGACGCATTATGGAGGAGCAATTGCTCGAGACTAAGCTTCTGAGAGCTTTGGCTCGCTTGGCCTGCTTCGATCAAGGCCGAGTTGCTGCTCCTGCGGCCTGTCGGGCCCTTCCTTGTTTGCTGACGCTGGTGCTGCTATGTGCCGCTGGTGCTGGTGCTTTGGAGTGAGGAACACGCTCCCTTCACACTTGCGGTTCTGGGACAGGGCCTGTGTTGGTGCCTGCTACCGCTGTGCAAGTTCGACACTGGTGGAAAGTCTTAAGAAAGGCCATGGCCTTCAGTCTCAAAGTGATGCTGGCGAAGCTGCATGTGTCATTCTGGCTGGCGCCGCTGCCCCAGAACAGAAGATCGCTTATGTTAAGGGGTTTCGCCATCGCCAAAGCCGATTTCAAGGTTTGCGCGGCACTTGCTGGGACCCACCTGCGCAAAGTCTGCGCAGACTGGCTCATCAACTCGTTTGGGCCTCTGTCAGAGTCTTGGAGTATGCACGATGCTCACGGCATCTGAAGGTCTGGGCTCGCGGATGTGGCTGCTCTGCCGGAACCTAAGAGTTTGGCTGATGCCATATTGCACAACTGCAAAACCATGCGGTTGACGTCGGCGAAGCAATGCAGATGCTGTCTTCGCACCCGCAACTGAAAGCGCTTCGGGTTTCGGTGCTGTGGCACGTGACACACCGCAGACGTGGTGCAGGATGTCCCAACGTTCCGGTGCACACGGACCTGCAGTATCTGTGCAGCTTCGGCATTTTTGCCCAAGGACTGCGCCCCTGCCTTCAGAGCCCCAGCGAAAGCGCCAGGATGGTGAGCTGCTGTGGCGACTCGCTCCTCCAGCTGACATCGCAGTACTTGAAACAAACGGTCTCTGCCTCTGAGCCTCTGAGCCGTGTTTTCCGGCTTGGGTCGAATGTGCAGGTGCGCGGCGAGCAGGACCCGCCAGTGGGCCCGGTGGGAATCGGCCATGTTGGTGCCCTGCTGATAGGCTTGCGTGCGAATACAGCTGTTTATCTAAGCTTGTGCCATACATAACGACGAGAGGTTTCCCGCGCCTCCAAGTGACTGAATCGCTGGTAGTGAACGAGGAAGCAAGATCGGAGGTGCTAAACGTGTCTGACAAAGGAGGCGGGTGAACTGTCTGAGTGACTTAAAAGAGGGACTGTCGATCTCGACTGGTGATGGGCCCGACGGGGCGTGAGGGTCATACCCGGCCGTGTGGAGCAAGGCCAAGTTTGTCCACAGCCGAATGTGTTCAAATGCATTTGGACGCATGCGATCCCCTTCGCCGTTGAGGAAGAGCATGAAAGCGGCTTGATGAGCCTGATTATACCTGATGACCTGTGGGACGCTCTGCCGAAGTGAGGCGGCAAATCGAATACTCAGCGCTGCGATGCGATGGCAAATCAAGTTGTTCTGAATTTCTTCCAGAACGACTCAGTATGCTCTGAAAATCTGTGAGCAGAATGTCTGGGGGCTGTCGAGGCATTCATAGATGTGTCTTTCTGAACAAGAGGTGGGATGTCAGCTCAATAGATGGACTGATCAATCTAACTTGGCCAGACGGCCGAATATTACCGATGCAACACGAAGTGTGATCCCCCCATGAGCAGCAATCCATGCCCTTGCGTTTCCCTTGACTCGACTGCACCATTCGAAGACTTGTCGCGACAGATCTTTCATGTTGGGCACACCGTTTGGGCGTGTTGACAGACGACGGAGATAAATGGCAGTGTTTCTTGCAGCTCAGATTCAAAAGTGGCCCTCAACCAGCGAAATGCAGGAATACTTGGCTGCGGCACATCATATTTTACGGGCAATGCTCAGCCAGAAGGACTTGGCAGAGGCTGGGACACCGTTTGCCAAAGCACTCGCGGCAGTGAATTCCTGAGCGGGATGATCGGAATAGATGTCTTCAGCAGTACTCAAGATCCACGGACCGTGTTTTTGGTGGTAGAATCTGTGTCGCGGTGATGTCAGTTTTCCAAGAAGTTGAGGCTTGCCATGAACAAGGAGTGCCATCACACTTCCTGGCAAGAAGCCTGCAACGACTCGGTGATGAGAGGACTGTGCCGCTGGGTACCACTGCTCCACTGCAGCTGGTAGAGCGATTTCGACAGTCTGCGAAGAGATGATTGGAACCGCATCGTTGTAGGGCTTTTGTGCCTTGCGACAGGCTCTCAGGGTTACATCGCGAGAGACCCTTTTTGCAACTGGATCCTGACGAGTCTGACGAGGAGTACCGCGGGAACCTTGCAAGCAGCCGCTCTCCTGGCGACAGATCTTTGGCTTGCAGGCTGAAGATAAGAGGGTAGCTGCTGTGACGAGTTCTGATTGCACAATCATGAACACAATGCGGCCGAGTGAACGCAAAAAGGATAGTTGCTGCAGGTGTGAGCACCTCCTCACCACAAGAAGGCACAAATACACAGAAGCCTGTATGCCACATCATGCGCGCACATCTGCGTAAGCCTCTCTTTGCCCAGGCTTGGGGGACCTGCTCAGCGCGTTGAAGACAGCGACGCAGAGCAGGCGACAGCCCGACCTGAGCCTGAGGGATCCTGAGGAAGGGTCGCTTGGCTTCTGTCATAAGGCAAGGACGATGCCCGCACATGGTGCTGCCGCCTCTCTTGCCGTCAGGGTGAGTCAGAATTTTTTGATCAGATGATCTTGCTCCGGATCGTGGGTGGCAGGTTGCGTTCTCGTGCCTCGCCAGACTGCTGCCTGATTCTCAGACTGTCACTTCTTTCCAGACCCCGGTCCAGATGCGTCTCTGTTTATCCTGCGGAAGGCTTTTTTCACTAACCCTTGGCTTGCAGTGCCACTATAGCTTCATTTTGTTCGAAGCCCGCGGACATCTGTCCTGAAGGAGGGTGGAAGATAGACTATTGGACCCCCACCAGCCGTTATCGGCCGTTTCGCAGCAAGGCGCAGCCACCCAAAGTGCACCCAAGGAACTTTCCAGGCACAGACACGGCACAGCTAAGGCATAGCGAAGGCACATCTGTAAGACAAGCACGTCACATCTAAGTTGCACCTGCGTGGAACAACCCATCGCAGACTGAACGCTGCACCTCTGCACGAGTGTGAATGGAGTAGACCCCCACTCCATTCTCGATGCTTGCACATTAGCCCACATGCGCAAAGGGCACATTGACTGAGGCTTGAAAGGCTGCACTTCCGCAAGCCGAAGCTTAGACAGATCTATGGCAGATGCTGCTTTCCCGGGCACAAAATGTAGACTCGTAGTGGCTTAAAGACTTCATGTTTGCCAACTGCAGGTTGCAAACTACAGCATCTTGAGCGCAAGAAGCCCACGCAGCAACAATCAAGACCAATCGCAACACCCATCCGACCCTATGAAAGGCTAATTCTCGTGCGTTCGCCTGCGTCCCGCGTCCGGTGTCCCGCGGGCTGCTTCCGGCGTCCCGCGTCCTGCATACCGAGTCCCCCGTGTCGCGTCCCGTGTGCAGCGTCTGCATCCACGACCCGCGTCCCGTGTCGCGCAGCTCGCTGCCGCGTGGTTAACGGCCCCGGAGCCCACGGCCGGAGCACGCGCAAAAACGCCACCAGCAGCAAGACCACCAACTACACCAGCAGCAACAGCGACAGCAACAGCGATCCCGGTCCATCATCAACATCTCTATCTATGTATGTATGTATGTATGTATGTATGTATGTATGTATCATATATCATATATCTTAAGCAGACCCCTCCTGTGGCGATTTCGTCTCATCATGCATCTGCAACACGCCCCCTCATGTGGCGATTCCGGGTCATCATAGGTCTGAAACGGCCCCTGGCCACTTCGGTTCATGTAACTGAAACACGCCCTTCTCATTTGACGATTCCGGTTCATCACAGATATTAAACACGCCCCCTCATTCGACGATTCCGGTGCATGATTTATCTTAAGCACGCCCTCTCGGTTAATCACGCGCCCCCTCATTTGGCCATTCCGGTTCATCATGTATCTTAGACACGCCCCTGCGTTGGAGATTCCAGACATCATATGTCTTAAACACGCCCCCTCAATTTGCGCTTCCGGTTCATCATAGTCATAGATCTTGAACACGCCCCCTCGGTTCATCATATGAATCACATATCTTAAAGGCGCCCCCTCATTTGGCGATTCCGGTTCATCACACATCTTAAACAGACCCCTCCTTTCACGATTCGGGTTCAGATAGATAGGTCTAGATAGATAGATGGATAGATAGATGGATAGGATGGGATGGGATAGGATAGGATAGGATAGATAGATAGATACATCGATAGATCGATAGACAGATGGCTAGATGGACCCACGTCCCGCGCCCCACGTCCGTGCCACGTCCTGCGTCTCGCGTCCCGCCTCCCGCCCACGGCCGGGGCGCGCCCAACAACGCCACCAGCAACAACACCACCAACCGCACCACCACCAACAGCGACAGCAACAGCGATCCCGCTTCATCATCAACATCTGTATGTATGTATGTATGTGTGTATGTATATATATATATATGCATATCATAAGTGCACCTGCATGCCAGAAGAAGAGGTCCTATTCTCGGACACGTCGAAAGCATGAAAAAGCATGAAACAGTGGAGACAAGAAAAAGCAAGGACCTTGACACGAGGCAAAAACAAAAATGCCATTGTCGCTATACAAATCATGGGGATAGGCCACGGTCGGAACTATGGAAATACAGCCAATAGCGAGGGTTTCTCAACCAACAGGGGCTGACCAGCCCAAAACCAGTGGGTGCGTTGCGGCCGCGCTTACAACTGTTGGAAGACGAAACAAAGGGTTCTAGGAGCTCTGTGTCATTCGGTATAGGCGGCACCGCACAGAAGTGTCAGCTGGAGACTTTCGTGCACAGAAAATGTCCTACTAGGGCCGAAGTCGCTACCGCCAGCGATGAGTTTTACTGCAGCTCAATTTCTTGCAGGTCACGACTGTGCGACAACCAAGATGTCGAAGGGACTCCAGCAGTGTGCCTTTTGGCCATGGTCGCACACGTCGTTATGGTCCGACTAGTTACTGGCCGATTGTCGTGGCCTTCGAACAGGAAGTAGCCGCTGCAACGCACCAGGTACCGGACCTTTGTCTACGCGCTGGTCTGGGCTGAAAGCTGGCCTTCTGCCTTTCACCGGCAGTGACAGGTCCGTGCCAACTAAGGTTGAATGCGAAAGCCACTCGTCGCGAGAATTCGGCACACGCTGTTTGCTGAATCTGCTTGAGAAGTACGAAGGGGCTGGAAACCCAGCTTCACTAGGTGTTGGTGGCTCTGGCACTTCCCATCTGCAGCCAACGAGAGTGCTGCCTCACGTCCAGGTTCCGGTCGGGATACTGGCGGAACTCAGTGTCAAGAAGTTTCAGGCAAGCGGAATGTCAACACTGCTATGCACAGCTGGAAATTCCGAACTGCTCAGAAGGTCAGCGCTGCAGAACCCCTCACGGTCATTGACATCGAGCTTTTCCTGGTCATTCCCACAGGAGAGTAGTCTTCGGGCTCCTCTGCGAAACGAGCAAATATGCTTCTGAGGTCATCGCGAAGCACCCACGCTGTACCGATCGACATGCAGAGCTGTGCGGCTTCTCAGCCAACAGATCCGACGACTTAAAGTGGGTCCGAGCAAACCTGAGGTTGGCACAAGTGCTGGTTCGAACTCCCTGCCTGTCTCCGACCATCACTGCGCAGATTTCGTGTTACTCTGGTGCCAGGCTGTGCTTTGGAGAACCCTGATGTTGGACGTGCTGCAAGTCTGAACCTCACCATCGGGGACCTGACCGCGTTACAGTCATGCCCATTGGGATTCTAGACCAAGGCCTGCCCTTGCTGGTGATATTTCGGCGGTTTGCACGTGAGGACGTGCATGGGTGGAGATTGCAGCATTCAGCAGGGTTTGTCGAATTTTGGCGACGGTTCTGAATTGCTAGCTACTGCTGGCTCGTAGCAGCAGGACAGCCTCCAAGCATTGTTCGAGCACTTCGTGCAGGCCGCTTGCGTGTCACGACCGGCTCGCAACTGTGCCTGAGCCGGCCCGGCAGAGTGAGCAAAGGTGTCTCTAACAAGGTCTGCAGCCTCAGAGGGGACCAGCCGGTGGGGCTGTCGCGATGACTCGCGTCCGAGGCTGATCCAACGCGGGACTCCGAAGATGCAGGTCAATCAGGTGCCCGGCCGGTCGTCTTCTGAAGAAGTGCCGCAACCGCGGCCCCGCGGCCCTTTCGAGGTGCATGAAGTCTTGGCAAAGACTGCTTGTATGCGTGCCCGGCCCAAGCTGTTGTTGCAAGGGCCTCCGGGGACTTTATTCCTCTGCATGTGTGTGGCCCAACGAATCTCAAGGCTGAACGTCTGTCAGGCTCTTCGTCGGAGCGACTCATATAGAAAACAAGGAACCAGGCTGATGTCTGATCGATCAGGACTTGACATATTGGATTGAGCATCAACGGTCGGTCAGGGCTAATTTCAATGCGACGTGGCAGAGCACAAAGTACTTCCCACATTCGCGGCCCCTTAATGGTGACGGGGCTCACGGAGCCGAATCCGCAATTTTGCACGTGCTGTTTCGGCAGAGTTGCTTTTGGTTTGGAGGCGCGAAGTTCAACCCGCAGCATGATTTCGTAGCCACGATTAGCCACCTTTGCTGCGTCTGTGCTTATTTGGGTTGCTTTCGGATGCTTTACGAAAATTCTTGTGAAGTGAGTGTCACTGAGTATCTCCATGTAAGGTGTTCCATCCTTGGACAGACGAATGCGACGACTTTTGCAAGAGGCCTGGCGGGTGTTGGCCATGGCTTTGCTAGCAAAGTGCGAATGCTTTCGCAGGTCTGCAAAGCATACCTGTCCAGCTACATCGAGCTGCATCCGAACTTGCAGGCGGTGCTGCAGCACTATTCGCAGTCTGCTACCTGCGACGCAGTGGCCCACATTGGAGCTAGCAAGCACGGCGCCTTCTTGCTACTACGGCAGTTTCTGGGTGTCCATGAAGGAAGCCTCGATGACAACAGTGCTGCCAACAGTGCTGTTGGAAAAAAAGTAGTTTTGCAACACTCCATCGCAACAAGATCTTAGAATCGAGCCGCCGGAGCCGGGAATAGCACGGTAAAACATTGGAAGGGTTCCCGGCATGCTACGAGCAAGTCCTGGAGCATGTTGTGCATTCGGAGGAATGCAAAGGACTCGCTTGTGGATAGGTTGAGCTCCGAGATGCTGCTGAGTAAGAGGGAGGTTGCTTTGCCATACATGGGAGTAGGCTGATACGCTACTGCGGTTTCTATAGTCTTCTTCATGAGTCCTTGCAGCTTACTGGGTCAAGTGCTGTAGCCCAGACAATCCGAAAATTTAGTGGGCTTCTGACGCTTCCAAGCTCGGCAAGCCCTGCAGTGGCTTGGTCGGAATTGTTGACGCCCAGCATGAAGGCGTTCAGCACGGATCATCACGGGACTTGATGCAGGGTTAGCTCAACGCAACGGCTTCACCTCTCTCGTCTCTCTCCTTTTTTTCCTCTCTCCTTTTCCATACTTCTCTGCTCTCCGGCTCTCCGGCTCTCTCACTCTGTCTCTCTCTCTCNNTCTCTCTCTCTCTCTCTCTCAAACCTGAAGTCGGTCCAAGGGCGCTGCCTGGACTGGATCTGCTGATCTGCCCGTGCTCTGGGCACAGCTTGGGTGTTTCGCAGCACTCGAGCCCCGCTTCCTCTTGATGAGCGTGCCGCAGCCCCCTGTCTCCAACGCAGGTCAGTGTGTGTTGGGCCATTTGGGCCCGAAGCGTACTTTGGCTCGTCTCAGGTAGCTGCATTCCGTCCAGATGAAGGCGAGGCATCGAGGCCGCTGCGGCAGGAGCAGAGCAGCGAGCCCTTTCGGTGCTTAGCCCTCTGGCCAGGCTTGATCCTCACTGTCACACTCGCAATCACTGGCGGCGTCAAGAGGCCGGCACGTGGCACTCAAGGCCGGGGTCCCTCTCTCCGCTGCAGGTTCGAGAACCCGGATCCGAATCCTCTCAGAAACGCACCGGCCTCTGGCTGCTGTCCTAGGTCCTATAGGTCGTCTTTTGCCACGTGCCTTTGCCACGTAGAAAGGCGTCGGCGCCATGGCCCGTCGGCCACGGCCGCGGCTCCGGGGTGGTGATTTCGCTCTTGGAGACGCATTCGGCGGTCACAGAGGAAGCGCGGCTTCCCAGCCTCCACGATGCGCGACTGCGACGCTCGCAGATGGCGACTTCAGGTGAAGAGCGAGATTCACGAGTTATTTTCTGGAGTTGCTGCCCAATCCCTCTCCAATGTAAGGCCATGGCACCTTTCAGCATGCAAGACAATGCAAGAAGTTGGTTTAACGGTGCGGCATGGCTTTGGAGGCACTTTGACAGCTACCTGAGCTCGCTCGCAACCGCCCTGATATCATTGTCAGAGAAGGTTCAGCAGCCACGACGGCCCTTTTCCGAAATTTCCAGCATCCGAGTATCCATGTGCACATTCTGTCCTGGAGGTGCGAGGACCCTACTTACAGAGTCCTCTGAGCGAGATTCTGAAAGTTATTGACAAGACACTGAAGCCGGGCATCTTGGACCAGTGGGGCACTCGTTTGCGGATGGACAAATCAAAAGCCCCCTTGTTTGCCAATCTGCCGCGTTGTGACTATTCCAGGCACGCCGCCGCGCAGCAGGCGCGGGGGCCAAGCTGCAGCTTTCGCTGGGTTTTTGTTGGTCACCCGCAGCCGCAGTTTACCGTTGTCGTCTTTGGTGCAGCACGGTCTGCAGGGCGAGTGAATCGGCTGAGGCCATCACTCGTGCAGATCAGACCGTCATGCGTTGTCGTCTGGCTGCAGGAAGGTTTCGAATTGAAAGAAGTGTTGACGTTGCACGCTGTCCTGTCGGAGAATTCCTACACTGGCGAATTTGGGGGAAGCTGCCCGGGAGCCGTTCTGTTCGGCTTGCCAGACCCAGGCTACAACACTCTCTGGAGAAGCTTGAATCAATCCGACGTCATTCTCCACTCCTTGGCTGAGAAGAGACAGGTCCCTGGGCAGGAGTAGACCCATCACTTTCCAGTCGCTATGCCCGAAGCACCCTCTTGGACATCCATAGCACTGGCCCGAAAACAGGTGTATTTTGTGTTAGTAGAACGGACGGCAGAGTTTTCCGTTGCGGAGGCGATCAAGTCCTGCTATAGCTCGGCCGCAGCCGCACCTCGGAACCGCGCTGACAACTTTACTGAAAATGCTCGGCCGTATCAGCCCAGGATTCGGCCGGCGTGGCCACGGCCCTTCTCAGTCTCCCTAGGCCTGGCGCATCGATAGGCACATCGATAGGTCGCGATAGGTCGCGATGCCACTGCAGGTTATTGACTGCTCGTGCGTCCGACTGCGAGAATCTACTTGCAGCATCCAATGCAAGAGAGGCGCCTCTGCAAGCCGCGGGGTTGCATACGTCCATGTTCGGCGCCTGAAAGGGCAGAAACGAAGCCAAGGCTTGGGCAGCCAGTTGCGATCGTCATGACGGTTCCAGTGTGGGGACCTATCTCATGAAGCAGCTCATGCACTGGGAGGCGGGTCGAGACCTGCGGTCAGCCGGTGTGCACCGCGAGATGCAACAGAATGCAACAGAGCAGCACATAGCACCCATAGGATCTCCTCCAGCACTATGACGACATCGAGAAGCGTTGCAAGGAGTCGACGGCGAGCTATGAGACCCAGGTCCTGAGGCGAAGCGCAGAGGAGTGCAGAGACTTCAAGAATCTACAGGCTAGAGCTGTTTCCTTGCTAAAAGGTATAATTCGCTGAAGAGCACTGCGCTGAGCTTCGTGTCATTGGGAGCTCTTGGAATGGCACTCCCGCTTTTGTGAGGTCACCAGCACGACGGAGCCGACTGTCGGCCCCTTCAAGTCGACATGGATGAAGCCGCTTGCCAACAGGCAGCGCGACAGCCCTGAACATCCTGAAGACCTGAACGTGCCTGAACTGCGCACACTGCGGCTCTGGCGGCCGCAGGCGCTGGATCGAATCGAATCTTGCGGGACCTACGGCAGCTGCATCAAGGCCAGACTCCCAGCCAGGGCCAGGGCCGGGATGACTGCTCTCCACCCCTGCTCCCACCTCCAGACTTAAGAAGTATTGTCTTCTTTCAAAACTGAGCAACAAGCAGGGGAAACCGGGAAAATGAGACTTTGAGCCTGGGCTTGGAACCACGGAGGCGGCTCCCGCAAAGCGCAGCGCTAAATCGGCTGCCCCAATACAAAGCTCTGATTGAACAGCAATGTCACGGACATAAATCACAAAGACAGCCCGGATGAACCACGCTCTGGTGATTTTCCGAATCTAAAGGCTTGCCGCGCTGGGGCAGTTGAGTGGAACCGGCAAGCGCTGCGCACGGAAATGCCAGGACCAGAGTCGTTTCGCACTTGGTGTCACGCATAGCTCGAGTGTGGTTGGCTACACGCGACCCGATTATGGAACATACCACTTTCCTGAACTTTGTCTCCTGCTGTGTCAGTCCTTTTCGCACCGTGAGCTGGGCTGAACCACGTGGGCGGGGCAGACACACTTCCATGAGGAGTGATCGTGAAGAGCAGACGTGAAATTTTGAAAAACATTTCAGGGGCCCGTGCCTGGGATTAAGTGAACGGGCTTGTCACTGCCGATGAGTTGTCGTGAAGGTGTTATGGTTGGTTCCCAGCCAAGGAGAGCATCGCCGATCGAGCGGTCCTTCACGCGTGCCTTTGCTTGAAGTCATGACGCGCCATCTGACTCGCCGTTTGCTCTTTCCACCAGATTGCGATGTAGTGCTGTGACCTGTGCTCGAGGTCGCAGTGCAAGCTTGAAGTGAACTTGAAGGCCCCTCGAAGCCTCTGGGTGCCTCTGGGGGGAGGGCCTATTTTTTTGGGTCT